TTTATTAAAAGTCTGACTTCCCACTTTCTGAGATGTATGTTTGGAATTAAGCACTAGGAAAGCCTTCGGCTGTTTCCCATTGTCCTGTGCTACATACTCTCTTCAAAGAGCCTGCAGCCATTGGGCCCAAGCACAGTATACTTGGCAGGTAAATACATTTCAGCCTGAGAAATGAAAATAAGCTCATTAAAAGTTATGGACAAATTGATAGACAAGCTGATGAAAAAAGAAAAAACATTCTGAAATTTTTTTTTAAATCTGGAAGAGATATGAACAGCTTGAGAAATATATGATAGTCTCTGTCACCAGCAAATCAGTAGGCAAATACTGACATCAACTAGGTGGTTATCCCATGCCCCCAAATTTTGTAGGGAAAATGGAAGTTAGCATTTATTTAAGACAAAATTAAGTAGACTTTTAGAGGCATGTTATGCTTTCTTTTCATAAATGACCTCAATTTAGATTCTGTGGTCTGTGATCCTCTGAAAAATATCGAGAAGAAAATTGACAGAAACTAAGTGGAATGTTGGATCATATGAATTTCCCTTTAGAGATAGAATCATATTTATAAATCTTAAGGAATGGACTGAAAGCTTGGTTTCACCTTTCAAGAGAAATTCAAGGAACACCTCACTTAAGGGAGGACTCTTGATTGACTTAAGATTGATCTTGCCCATATAGGTTGACAGTATTTATGTTCTTATAAATTAATTATAAGATGATTGCTACGTTCAGATTTTGAGGGTCTATATGTCTATGAAGAGTGAGAGCTGATGGGTGGAGTTAGCTGAAAAATAGAAAGCTATTCTTTTTAAAAAAAAAAACTTTATTATTATTATTATTTTTGGTTGTAAGTGCCTGTACTTTTTTATCTTTAAATGTCCTGGTAAATATCTTCCAAAGGATGGATCCTTCTGTTTCCTTTGAGAATGGGTAATGAAGGCATGCAGAAACAGGAACTTCCCTTAGAGGACACTCTCTGTTACTCAGTTGCCATTTTGATTTTCTTTCCATGCAGAGTTTTTCTTCCCTTAATTCTCATTTGTGATGGTAAGTAGATATCCGAAATAATTTTGACCAACAAGACATGTCTTCGCAATATGCTGATGTTTCCATGAATATAAAAAGACATTCTCCTGCAGGCGGTTGCATTGGTTTTAAAATGCTGGAACTATCCATTTTGAATGTAATTATGCAAAATAAATGAAAGAAATCTACCCTGCTGATATTTATGTAACAACCTCTAGAATAAATCTTCTGATTTACAAATATACTGGGACCATTAGCTAGAAGCCACACCACATCATTATTTCACAGAACTTTAGGCAATTGTGATGACTTTTTTTCAAATCAGCATTATTTTGCAAAGTAAAATAAAACAGAAAACCAATTGACTTTTTCCCTAGCATTTCTGAAGAAAGCTGCTTAAAAATCAATGAAGGTTGTGCTTTCAGAAATATTTTTAGAATTGCTCTTTATTTTTTGAAACTGATTTTTTTCCACAATTCATCTTTTTTTTTTTTTTTTTTAGAGCCACTTAATATTCTTGAATTGTATTTAACTTCCCTGGGAAACTGTAAAGAGTGGGTTGAAATCCATAATTGTATTAAAGCTATGGGTCCCTGTAACAATAGCTATTCCACAGGTGCTGGAGAATGTCTTGTCATAGGGTATAAAAGCAGAGAGAAAGTGAGATTTTCCTCTTCCTGCTTATAAGTAGTACTAATCCAGAAAGGGAGGGTGAGGGATTTGGGGGAAAAAAACAGAAAGAAGGGATTCTGTCCAGAGACGTGTCAGTAGTCAGGTTTGTCTATAGCCACAAGCATCACAACGTGCACAAACTGAAATATTCCACTGAAGCTTTCCTGGGGAATATTCATGCTTTCCTGCCCACTACAGGCATCTCTGATATCCTGCTCACTTTACAAATGAAACATCTCTGTTATATCCTATTCCTTTAACATCTTAATTCTATGCTAGGTAGTCAGCACTTTATTTGATCAAATACTCCCTAATTATAGTTGTTTTTTTTTAAAAAAATAATGGGTGACATCTTAGCATTTTTAGAGGAAATTAGAAGCAGTGTCTTGACTCAAAGGACTGTCTCCAGGCGTATAAATCTCAAATGCAACTTTGTGAATAAAGACTCTTGTATAGATGGGGCAGTCATTAATATTTTAGTCTTACCACACATAATGGTATTTCACGACTATGAATAGATAGCCCTGGAGATGACAAAAAGATAATATGAAGGTGTCAGGGGTACACTTTAACTTTTTTTTTTCTTCAAGTAATGTAGGGGTGTATATGTGTGCATGTTTAAATGTATTCAAATATTTTATTCAAAAATTCAAAAAATTCTGTTCCTGAAATATATATATATAGTTTTCTAAGAACAGAATCTGCTTTCTGAAGAAAAATTTATGTATTAAATATATTTTTAATATCTCAGAGTTTAAAAAAGTAACAACAAAATAATTGAAAATATATAAAGAGGAAATCCAAGAAAATATTTATTTCAAGTTAAATTAGATGTCCAAGTTCTCCCCAGTCATAACAAAGACTGGGTAGACATCATTGTCTATTTCAGTGAATTCTAAAGGGTGCTTAGGTAATGAGAATAGGTAGTTTGGAAATCAGAGACCTAATTCTTTGAGTAGTTATTTAGTTACTGTATGTGTTTATTATGTGTCAAGTTCTGTTTCGAGCACTTCACAGATATTTTATTTACTTCCTAAAATAACAACCCTCAGGACAACATTGAGATAGGTACTATTACTGGTCTGCCCACCCTTCCTGCCTCCAAACGAGCAAACTGAGGCACAGAGACATTAAATGATCTGGCCAAGGCAACATAGCTGACAAGAAGTAGAGCTGGGATTCAAAAACAGGCAGTCTGGTCTCAGAGATCTTGCTTTAAAACCACCACAAGTTTCTGTCTAAGGTCTAAGGCAGTGTGCTTCTCACACTTTAGTGTGCATAAAAATGGCCCAGGGAACTTACGTAAAGCCATGGACTCCCCAGAGATTCTGATTTGGTGGATTTGGCTGCCTTTCCCTTACTACTCGTTTTCTGTTTAGCACCTTGTCGTTGGTTTCAGTTTGGGGTTTAAACTTTTCCCAAGATGATTGATGGTGGGACATCTTTTCCTTTCAAGAGAAAACTTTCACCCTCATGCGTGTTTTGTAACCTTGTGACCTTAACAAGATGATCTTTGAATAGTCTAACATTTATACCTCTCCCCTTACCTGAATTACTTAGCCATATCCATGATAACCTTGTTAGAAGGAAAACCACCTCCCGAAAAATGAGCCAGCTTTCTCCCCTTAACCCCCCAAAATCTGGCAGAACTTCATGAGGATTTGGTGTGATTTCTAAACTGTCACCTTTTGGATTCATCAGCTTGGGAAATGGAAATTTAAAAAATAAGTAAATAAATAAAAAAGAAGATCTCCCTGAAGAAAGTAACTTCTTGAACACAGAGGGGGAAAAAAAAATTCCTATAATTGGTTTATCTCATTTGACATTTTTGAAAAGAAAATATACAGATGCCATTGTTTAAAACAGTTTTTAAAATTATGCTTTCTATCTTTATAGCAATAGGCTTAGTGAACAGATTAACTTGCATATCCTCTTCCTGGGATCGTTTGTTTATTGTGTGTGTTTATTTTAAGGTTCTGATATATAGCTATAATAAGTAGTCATGTACTCTATCAGATTATTAAAATATCACAGCATCTTAGTACCTATTCCTAAGCATTAGATAGGCCCATGTTGATACCTAGTTTGCTCACTTACCAATTACATAAAGGTATAAATACCATTTTCTCCTGAAAAATTAAAAATCTCACCCCAAAATTTCATGTGCTGTTTTTTTATTGTTTTTTTTTTTAATTTGTATAATCAATGGTATTTAAAAAATGCTTTTGTAATTGTTATAGTATTAAAAGCACATACAAAACAAAACAGACTTAACCCTCTACCAATCCAAAGAACATGTGATCTTAGAAGATACCTGTGAATTTTATTAACACATATATTCTAGTGGAACTGTTTTCTTCTAAGATTTTTTAACATGATTTTTCTCTGTGGAACACATTGAGAATATAAATAAACCTATTCTTTATTTGGAGGACATTTTTTCATAGTTTCTCCATTAACATACCTAGCTTTATCTCTCCAGGACTGGTTCTTGGCCTTGGTAAATAATACAAGTTAAATAATTTGATTTACACCTAGTGAAAATGCTTGCTAGAACATCACCGCCAGAACTCTCCTATTTGCTTACCTCTTGGTATGGTGTCTGAGGATGACTTTAAGACTGCAGTGGACCATCCCTAAAAAGTCTGTCTTGCATCAGAACAAGAAAAAATAAAAACCTTAGTTTATTTCTTTCTCTCACTTTCCATTAGAATTCACCATTTTGGATGTCTTGACATATCTGTCTCTTCATCCGTCCACTCATACAACAAACACTGAGTATCTGCTATCTTACCTAGCCAATTATCAGTCATGTACAAAACCCAGTGGAAATATGTGGTCCACATTTTCTTTTTCCTCTATATTCTGCAGGATTCATTCTCTGAATCTTAAAACATTACCTTCCCTACCCTGCCCTAATCCACATAATTTTAAACTGTTTCTATTAATGATGCCACGATTCTCCTGGAGTATACACGTTCTTGACCTACAATATCCTTGATAATTCTTTAGTCCAACAGAGAAGATGAAACCTGTGTTCAAATAAGAAAAAAAAAAAAAGATAGGATTCTTGTCTAAAGAAAGTCTCAAAAGAGAAAAAAAAGTCTTCTTTGTTCATTTAGCTTTCTAGAAATCCTCCAAAAGTCCAGAGAAGTAATTTGGGGGCCTGTTCCTAAACATGTACTATGAGGTTTTTACAAAATTAATAATGTAGAGCTAAGTTTTCTTTTTACATTGAAAGCTACATTCTATGCTGAAGAAACTAATTTTTCTTTCACTTTGCATTTCTCTTCTACCAGTGGCTATAGCGGAGGAAAAAACTCATATAAAACAAACTCAGTATACAAGTACTAATGGACTCAGTAACATTTAGTATTGGCAAATTGCTGAAAATTTGTCAGGTAATGTGATTTTGTTTTCAGTTTATGACACTGGAAAGTAATGTAATGTCTAATGCTAAGAAGAGGGAAAAAAAACCCTATACTTCATAAAATTGTATTACTGTATATGGGTTTGGCATTTGAGAAGCAAATGAGAGCAAGTTGCCCTTTTCTCTATTTCTTAAACAGTGTGTAAAGTTGTTAGATTATACTGTAACATTTTAAGAAATGCTTTGTGCTATAAGAAAATTGCTTTCAAGAGCATGGTGATGTGCACCAAATGTAAAGCATGTGAGTGAGGACCCAAATGACAATGGAAGGAGGAAAGACCTGGAGCTGAGTTCAGAGACCAGGAACATCCAGGGATCAATAATTATGACAACCTAAGATTTTAGTTTCTTGACCAAGAAAAAGAATAATGGTTAAATATCAGTTATATAAGTGCAATTCTTAGTAATGTAGATTTAAATCAAGTATCTATTTAGGGCAATTTTGCATTCTTTTAAAATACTGCAATTGCAAATTCTTTAGACTAAGATGTTAACTCTTTTGTTAAAGAATGTAATATGCTTTGAGAGAGAGAAATGAGTAAATTATTTTGGGGTAGTTTGTCTAGAAGTTCTAGAGAAAGTCTGGATTTTAATTTTTGTTGCCATGTACATTATTATGGACTCTGAGGAACAAACTGAAGGTTCTGGGGGGGGAGTTGGGGGGATGGGTTAGCCTGGTGATGGGTATTAAAGAGGGCACGTATTGAGTGGAGCACTGGGTGTTATACGCAAACAATGAATTATGGAACACTACATCAAAAACTAATGATGTAATGTATGGTGATGGACATAACATAATAAAATTAAATTAAAAAACTGCAAATGCAAATTCTTTAGACTAAGATGTTAACTCTTTTGTTAAAGAATGTAATATTCTTTGAGAGAGAGAAATGAGTAAATTATTTTGGGGTAGTTTGTCTAGAAGTTCTAGAGAAAGTCTGGATTTTAATTTTTATTGCCATGTACATTATTAATTTGAATAGTTTTCTTATCTTCGTGAACCAGTTTCCTTATTACAGGTAATTGGGATAATAAGATCTTTTCTATATATCTCATAAGATTGTTATAAAGATCAAATTAAATGTGAGAATGCTTTAAAAATAAATTATTAGAGTCACGTGTCTCTAAAATCTCATTTCCTTATACACACCACTGTGTAGACCTGGGGCTTCAAGGGATGATTTCCCATTTGTTGTCTGACTTTATATGTGTTAAAGAAGAGCAAGTTATGGGGATGCCTGGGTGGCTCAGTCAGTTAAGTGTCTTCCTTCTGCTCAGGTCATGATCTCAGGGTTCTGGGATGGAGTCCTGCATCAGGCTCCTTGCTCAGCAAGGACCTTGCTTCTCCCTCTGCCTGCCACTCTCCCTGCTTGTGTTCTCTCTCTCTCTCTCTCTCTCTCTCTCACACACACACACACACACAAATAAATAAAATCTTAAAAAAAAAAAAAAGAGCAAGTCATGGACTGAATGTCAAACTTCTTGGATTCTACTCCTGACTCTGTTGTAAGTTTATAGTGCCAGAATGACCCAGTGGAAACTGAACATAACTCTGATTAAATGATAATGAAGACATAGTTTGCCCTAGCTCAGTCAGGCAAGTTCTGAAAGGCGACATCTGCCTTTACTCAGTGAAGCTCTCTTCAGGGCTTATAGAATTCAAAGATGACTTTTTTGGCAGTTTCTACCAACTGCTTGGTCAAAGCGGTGACCTCATTCCATTGATGAACTCCAGAAAGCCCATATAAACTTGTGAAAAGTGATTCAAAATGTTGCTTATGTAGAGATACAGCCCCGCAACATCTCAGGCATGGTTTCAAACCATCCTTTCCTTTGCTTCTTATCAAAGTAATAGATGATATTTCTTTTCGTTTTTTGCTTTGCTTTTCCTTCTAATTTTGTGTCATCTTTCCTTCAGCAGTTTTTCAATGATTATTTTCCACCATCTCAGAAATGTTAATTTTCCATACTAACCTTGGTATTTTCCAGTCTACGTCCAAAGAACTCTGCCTTGAATTTAACATGGTGTGAAGGGTATGCTTTCCTATTCTGCTCTTTTCCTATTTTTTTTTTTCCCCACAGAGTTATCTCTAGGGTTTATTTTCTACTCTTACTAATACTTTTTTCATGAGTATTTCATCAAATAAAAAGAAACTATTCATTCATTTCTATAGATTCCCAGTGTGCTTTTTTATGTTGTCAACTTTTGTTTACTATATACATTTTCTGTGTTTTACTATGTCTAGATCACCTCAAAATATAACAGTATAGGAATTTGAAGTCCACTTATGTATACAGGGTGGGGAGCTGCATGCTCAATCGTACCAACAATTGGTGTTGGTGTGTTTTATATTTTATAAATATATATTATTTTCCTGCTTTGATTCCATCTGTTGCTGTCTCTCAAAGGACTTATGATATCAACAAGAATAGACATATTTTAGGTTTGAATCTCTCTAGATCTTTTATATCTACAATATAGAACAATAAAGATATATGAACTGTGTTTTATAAAACACAGTTGTGTTTTATATTTTAAATATTCAGTGTATATGAGAAGTACCAGGTTCTGCTAGTTCCTGGTTGATCCAAATTTCTACTTGTCTCTAATTGTATTTCACTCATCCACGTTTGTAGAATTTTATTCTCTTTAGCATCTGGTGCTCTTTGAATTTATTGCTCATATTTTTAAAATCCTTTAACTTTTTAATCATGTTTTATATTGTTTGCAATTTAGTAGTATTCTTTGTACCAGCATCTCATAACAATTTATTTCAGAAAGTAGATAAATAATTGAGAAAGGTGCCCTTTTCATCAGTTCCTTCTTAGTAAGCTTTTTTTTTTTTTTCTGTTCCTTTCAGCTTTCTTTTGGCCTTTTATCTTTTCAAAAGCTTTTCTGCAATTTCTCTATTGCTCTTTGACTTACCATTAAAGCAGGCATTTGTTTCCATGAGTTTCTTTTTGGTTTTTGAGTGAGATGTATATCTCGCCTTACTCAGCTTAAAAAAAAAAAAAATCTTCCTGAAGCTGTTCATTATTCATTTTCTTTGTAGAGTTCAATCATTTGTTCTCATTTGTATGTTTCAACTTATAACAGTGAATTGTTAACTTAATTCTTCAGAATCACCCAAAATCTTTTCATCTTTACCTTGTTTTTTAACCATTTTGGGGGTTTTGTACTTTTGTCATTTGTCTTTTCAGAATTTCATATTATCCTTTTGCCATGTTTCAATTTCATGCTACACTGAAGTTGTGACTCTTCTCAAGTCCCTTTTCTTTTTGTCATTATTTACTTTCCTTTATCTATTCCTGTTCTATTTCAGCTTTTCATCTGTTTCAGCAATTCCAAAATTACATGGACATTTTCACCGTTGTACAAGTTTTTGTTACCTTTTTCACCTTCTTCTTTGTTCTTGGTATGAGTTCTACTGCCACTTTACATACTACAATTATAATTTAGAGTTTTTATGGAATCATACTTAAGACTTAGTCATTATAACTTCACTTACTTGCACTTTAATTCCCCACTTATATCTTAAAATCAAATTTTATCTCCCTGTATTTTATTTCTCTTGTAATTTATTATTTCATATTCTTTTGATCCTTTTTCTAAGACTCTTTTAAACTAATTTTACTGTCCTGACAATTCTCATTTCATTTATATTTTATTTATGTCTCTTCTTTTGTTTAACATGTAGCACTCAGCCCCTGATCTTAATGTTTCAAATTTTCCTCTTTGATTCCATCTGTTGCTGTCTCTCAAAGGACTTATGATATCAACAAGAATAGACATATTTTAGGTTTGAATCTGTCTAGATCTTTTATATCTATAATATAGAACAATAAAGATATATGAACTATTTACCCTACCAGTGTCATTTAAAATGTTCCTACTAAATAACCCCTACTATTGCATGTCCCTTTATGCTTTATATGTATCTTCTGATCCCTTTGCCTATAACAAGAATAATTGCACTAACCACTTAGTGTTTCTGCAACAAGGTAGCAGAGTAAATCTGATGAGGAAGAATTAACATTTGTAGCATCAATAGCTTTTTTTCTCATGAGTATTTTAAAACAGTAATAAATATTTTAAAAGGGAGGATGGTTTCCTTTACCTAAAACCTTGAGATGATGAGTTTGGTTTTTAAAACCACATTATTGAGTGCATATGTCATGTCAGGGCTATGATGTCATTTATGAAAGAAGAGTCAGAAGTTTAAGAAATTTAGGTGTTTCTTTGTGTTGTAAGTCTTAGCTGTGTAGATATGTCCTCCTTGAGTACCTTTTCTTCTCCTAAGATTTAATTATCTTCAGTGTTGCTTTTAATGATCTTTTGCTTTCATTTATAATTTTGATATCTAGTTATTAACTAATATATTGTTTGGTTTTGCCTGCTCTTGAATTTTACAGAGAAATGAATCACCCTGTGTGTGTTCTATGATTTGCTTCTTTCTCAGAATAGTATGTCCAAGATTCATCCATGTTCAGGTATGTAGCAATTATTGATTTCACTGATCTATAGTATTCCACTGGGTGGAAATATTTATGTGTTTGGACACTTTTCTGATATTTTTTAGGATAAATTTCTAGAAGTGAGTTTCCTAGGTCAAAGATAGACTTTTTTAAAAAGACTTTCGCTATGTATTGAAATTTGTCCGCAAGTTAAACTTCTAAATGTTTCTGAGAACACTTGTTTCTCTCTCAATCTCACCAACACTGTGATTTTTTTGAAAAATCTTTCTAATTTTTTCACATTAAATTCCAAACTCATTCCCTTAATAATTAGTTCATTACAACATGGATGAAATTTCCCATAAGAAAATGGTGCATTTAAGCATGAAGATATGATGTTAAGGTTGTTTGATAATTTCTCCCTCTGGGGAATACTCTTTAGATGTGACCAATGAATCTATAGTTCTTGGACATTATCCTCAAAAGGAGAATATTAGACCTTGGGCTTTCACTGAAAGGAAATTGTTTCCACAAATGTAGTTTTGAGAGACAGCAATTTTGTTCAATTTTAAATCTGTGCATATAAAACTCAATTGCAGTGTGTGACTGGCATCTATTTTCTGGCTAGATCTGCCTTCTGCTTTCCTCTGTCACACTTTGACCCTTGTTAAGTAAGTGGCATCTTTCCAGAGGAAATGATTAAATCCAACAGCTGGTTTGCAATCAGGATCATTCAAAATAAAAGCTTAGCATTCCTGTTAAAGCTCGGAAAAAGGGGAAAAAAATCTATTGATGATGAACTAATGTTTTGGGAGCATTGATAGAATTTTTTCTTAAAAAACTTTGTTTTTTTTGGCATGTATCTCTCAATCTTATATTTCAAATCTTAAATGTATTTCTTCTTCAATTTCTCTTCCTCTATGTAAAATTAAATTGTATCCTAAATTTTGCATTTATTAATCCTTTTATTGTAATTTTGAACCTAATTTCCAAAAAGGATCCAGCTAATAAGTTATCTGAGGAAAGAGAATTTGAGAAGACATTGATTCTTTCTCTTGCCCATCTTAGAAATCGTAGGGAAAAACAAAGGGAGTGTGACAGAAGCAATTGGCCTAGACCTTTCCCCAGGTAAAGATCAAAGTGATGTTATAGATCTTCATCTTTTGCTTTGACTATTAGATTGAAATTGTCTCTTAATCTACGGTTGACATGACTGAAAAGCCTCCTCCATAGATAACTCTAGCATTTGACTCCTTCTGGCAGGTAGGAAAGGAAAATAGCAAATGATTCTATCTCTAATCTCTGTGAATTTCTTCTCCAAAATCACTGTAACAAACCTTTACACAAAACTGCCTCTTATTTATTGATATTTCTGTTTTAGCCAAATAATGAGATGCCTCAAAAATCAAAAAATTATATTCGCATTTAAAGTACTTTGTTATCTAACTTCGATGTACTAGCTTTTCATGTGTGGAGAAATCTCTAACAACCTTGCCTGCATTGATCAAATGTATGTTGGAATATATTATATTTATTATTTATTGTTTATATATATATATTTACAATATATTGAAGCACCTAGAATGCCACATAGCACATAAAAGACACTGAATACGTATTTATTTAATAAATGAAAGAACCATGGGAGTTCAGTCTATATTTTTCTATTATGACAGTTAACACAGTTGCTGTAATTAATTTCCTCTCTTGAAGTTTCAGTTATTTAGAGTAGGCTTAGTTAACTTACAGAGGACTGCATAAAGCTAAACATTATTTTGCATTAGGCTTTGGACTAAATAGACCAATTCAGCCAGGTTTGGAATTTCTGTGATACATATATGCCCACTAAGTGATCTTATCCCATTGCAAACCTTGACCCTTAATTCTAATTCTAGTTTCTTTGCTTGCTAAAAATCACTATGTGATTTTTAGATGAGATACTTGTCTGAGTCCTAGTTTCTTGATTTGTAAAATAGGGATAAGAATTACAAGTCTGTGATGAAAATTGATGTTCAAGTATATAAAACCCTGCAACATAGTGCCAAACACATAGATGTCCAAAGCATGTTAATTCCTCAGCATCAGTAATAAGAAAGATACACTGTTAATATATTTTCCCTAAATATGTACCCAAAACATCTGGTTTGATTAAAGTCAGTAAGATTACTGAATGTAAGCCTGTCCTAGATATAGTGGAGAGACACAAAGACCAACGTGGTGTCAGCTCTACCCATAAGAGACTGACAGTTTGCAGGTGGGGAGAAAGGCAGATGGAGAGAAATACAAATCATTATAGTTTTGGCATAATGCAAGAGTTTATTAAAAGATTTACAAGTTTGGGGGGCAGTGCCTGGGTGGCTCAGTTGGTTATGTATCTGCCTTTGGCTCGGGTCATGGTCCCATGGTCCTGGGATCAAGTCCCACGTCGGCCTCCCTGCTCAGTGGGGAGTCTGCTTCTCCCTCTGCCCCCCCCCAGGTCATGCTCACTCGCTCTCTCAAGTGAATAAATAAAATCTTAAAAAAAAGATTTACAAGTGGCGATATACTTGAGCTAGAATTGCAAGAATAAGTAGAATAAAGGAGGAAAGTATTTGATGCAGGGAACTATCTCTAAAAGCACACAGAGGCAGCAATATGTGGGAGGTCTTTGGGGATTGACAAACCACCAAGTATAGCTGGACCATAATGTTTATGAAAGTTTTAATAGGCGATTACTTGAGAAAACTGATTGGTTCACATATAAGTTCACAAATGTTTGACTGCGAGTAACAGAATGTGCAAGTGGACTAAAAGAACTGTATTGGTTAATTTCGCTACAGGTAAGGGTTGATCCATTGATTCAACAATATCAACTAAAAAAAAAAAACAATAACAAAACCAGTTTCTTACAGTTTATATCTCTGTACTGTGCCTTCTAGGGTATCAGTTTGCTATGGTAGCCTCTCTTTTTTTATCAAAGAATGGCTGTCAAGAGCAACAAGGTTCCATGCTTTCTCATTTTTGCCTCCTGAGAAAGAGAACAATCTTTTGAATTTAATGATCAAACAAAGTTATGCATTTTGTCTTAATTTAGCTGACATATCACATACTCATCCCCGAAATTAGCACTATAGCTTGGGAATTCCATTCTTACTGGCTTAGGCCTGATTGACAGTCCCATCCTTCACCCAAAGCTGTGTGAAGGGAGGTAGAATTATACTAACTGTCTGAGGCCTCTCCACTTGAGTTGTGGGTGGAGTCAGCCTGCCACATGGCCAGGATGCTACACAGTTGGGAAGATGAACCAAGATGCTGCTCTAGCAAGAATGGTGCTCTTCAGAGTCTTAGCAACAAGGGCCTCTAATGCCATATTAAGAGTTTAGAATTTCTTTCACTGTAAAGAGAAACTGTCATATCAAGTGAGATTTTATCTAGCTGTATTTAGCTACTTGTGGGCTGTAAGGGTAAAACTAGACATAAATGAGCTGTTATCCTGCTTTCAAGGAAATCATATTCTCATATTACTCATGTGACCCAAACTATGTTTTTTGAGCTGATATTGAGTCCAAACTGTAGATCAAGTGTAGGCATTCATCCAGTTTTTAATATGTTGACATTAATGTGATATTTTCCTGACATTTTTGGACATGATAAAAATAATAGCTGATACTTCTAGCTCTGTTCCAGATGCTAAGTTTTGTACACAGATATGTCATTTAATCTTTCTAACAACCTTATAGGTTGGTATTTTTTCTCATTTTGCAAACAAGAGAACTGAGGCTTGGGGAAATTAAATAATTTGCCCGAATAGTAGCAGATCCAGGATTCAAAGAGAAGCTTTCTGATGATATAAAATCTACACCCTAAATATGGTGTCATTTTTTGAAAAATAATATATATTAGGTGCAGCCTCACATTGGGAAGAAAACAAAAGATAAAATGAACCATAAACCTGGCACAATATGCATTTGAAGACTCATGCAGAGGGCTTAACAGAACATATCTATAATATGTATGAAATTTTCCAAATGTATGGTTGAGTGCGTGTTAGTTTAGATTTGTTCTCAAGCATAAAGGAATTTCTAATATTTTCTCTAAATATTTAAAAGTGAAATTATTTGAATTGAACACATCTGGAGAAGTGGGGGGAGGAGGAAAGAGTTGGGCTGAGTGAGGAGATAGGAAGGAGTTTTCTCTTCATTCGTCATTGCTTTCTTGAAAGAGGCCAAGGGGAACTAGCAAGTGATGTTGGCACACTCTACTAAATTATTTTGGTTGATGGAAACTTGGAATTCTGGATAAACTCCAAGTGGATGTAAGCACTTTAGGGAATTGGATAGTACATGAAATATAACCTAGAATAATGTGAAAAATAATGGATATTGGCAAAAATAGTCTTGAAACCCTCTGTGCCCTGATGGGCTTTGATTTTGAAAGCTCCTTTGAGGAAAAAATGTTTAGGAGTTGTCCTATCATGGGCTCTTTAGACTTGATGCCCAGTACATGTCAGCAGTTAGAGCCAGAAATAAGATTCCAGGTACATTAAGAAAGGGATAGAAAATACTTAAAATATTATAAATTAATAACATGATTGAACAGTGGCAAACTGCAATATCTGGAATAGGGTATCCCATTCCAGTTGCTTTAGCTTATAGTCACCTAAGATGCATATTTAGTTTTTATAAGTGCATAATCTTTTAGACAAAAGAAAAACTTTAGAATTTACCTCTGGTATTTAAACAAACTATAATGTATTGGTCAAATTTTCTTAGCTTGTAGAAAGAGTACTAGTTTGTATAAAAAAACTTGTATGCTGACATTACAAAAATAGATTTACATTTTCTGAGGCTTTGATTTTTCTGGCCAGAAATTCCAACTTTACATATATTAAAGGGGTCCATTAGTGTTCATCTGTGTTTCATTTTTCAGGCCAGAAATACTATTAGAATGATTATCCTTATTTTGTATAATATATATATTAGCGGAAGGCTTCTTTCATTATTATTATTTTATTTTTTTACTTCTTACGGGTTGCATTATTTTTCCTTTTC